CCGCCGCAGGAGCGCATGCAGGTGTTGGGCGGGCCCCGGGCACGCCCGAGCGCAGGCGGGCCGCAGCGGTCTGACGGCGGCAGGGGCAGCGGCGCAGGCGGCGGCGGGCGTTGAGCGCCTGCCCTTCCACACGGCGGCTTTCACCTTCCTTGGGGTCAAGGGGCAGCATAAATTGTTTATATCCGTGTGCATGAACAGATGCAGCAGTGCGAGTGTACCTTGTAAAACCTTTGTGCTAAGCATGAAATCTCATCACTGAAGTGATTTGGTTGCCACGTCGGGGGTGAGCAGCTTGACCTCTTGGGGGTTGCCTGCCCACGCACATGTTGCAACCACTCCAGCAAGATCATGGCTGCAACGAAGCAAGCCAGCAGTTGGCGGTCTGCGTGCCCAAAGCTGGCAGGCCCCAAGCAAACCCGAATGCTGGTGAGCTGCAGGCATCGGGCTACTTAAGCAGGGGGTGCATCAGCAGTGGGTAGTGACGGCCTGCTGTTGCGCCCAGCCCGAGTGTCTTGTCCTGGTCACGCGCTGGGCGCGCAGCTTGCACGCTCACATCAGACGTCGTTGCTCAATCTTCTTTCGCAATTGAAAATCTCGAGGCATGCTCGGCCTTGGGCATGAATAGACGGAGACTCTCTGGTTTCGGATCGTCGAGACGAGGGATCTAGGAGCGCTCGAGACAACCTTGCTGAGCTGGTTTGGGCGCCAGAGGCCGTGAGAGCATGCTCAAGTCGCGATAGGGACGTTGAGATTGTTCACGCTTGCAGCGCACACGCGCAACCTCGTCGGCCAAAGTTGACCATGCGCTGGGCAGCCGCACGGCTAGCGTCTGTGAGCATCTGTCTCTTCCTAGTGGCCATGGCGTCTGCACAGCAGCAGCCATGCATGCAGCTCACGATCGCTTCGCCTGGAGCCCCTCCTGCAATCGACGCACAAGCTGCCATGGCGTGTGGTGAGCACGAGGGCGAAGCACTGGTGACGATGGACGAGCAGTTGCCCACTGAAGGGGACAAGGCATGCCAGATCTCACCATGGGCCGCACCTTTGCACGCACAGGTGCTGCTGGCGCACCATTCGACGTTGCCTGCATCACCTGCCGCTGCGCCCTCGTGCGCGCCGCCCTGCCGCGGCTGCAGCGGGACAGTGTGTTGCCGGTGTCGGACGTGTACACGGCCAGGGGGGCAGAGCTGGTCATGGGACTGATGCGCAGCTGTGCCGGCCAATGGGCGGTGGAGGTGGCGCAGGTTGGTCCAGATTGAGGGAGTACTGTATCGAGATCCATATACTTTTTTGGCAGGCGGGCAAAAGAACGGGCAGGCGGGTAATCCAGTGTGCAAACTAGCATCCTACTGCTTGGCTTGACTCATCATGTGCCAGGTTTGCATCAGCAAATGCAAGCAACTCCTCCCAGATGCCGCTGAAAAACTCTCGCTGAACAGAGCGCCGCGTCACCCGTTTGGTAACGCAACCACAAGTGCATTGGAATGAAAGGTTGCCTTGCTGACACCCGCCCAACGCCCATCAGCACACTTAAACGCCGCTGCTGCTGTTGCCTGCCTTGACTTCCAGATCAACAACACCGCCCTGGAGCGCCTGCAGAGCTGCCGCCCCATGAGCATGCAGCATGCAGCGGCCTGCCTGGCACTCGCGGCCGCTGCGCCAGGTCAGAGCGCCGGGTCAACGCGCACGCTTCGCCCTGCCAGTTCCGGGGGCTTGCATGGCGCCAGCAGTGGCGGCGTTGGGGTCGCAACAGCTCGAAAATCCCCTGCGGAAAGTGGCAGCAAAGCTGACGGATCAGCTGAGCCCGACGCCTTTATGTTGGATGTGTTTGCTGGGGCCACGTGCGACGCGGATGCAGGTGCTGATTCGACAGTCGCCGATGGCGTGTGCCCCGCAGCGCGCGACGCGGCGAGCGCATGGGCGGAAAGCATAGGCCCCTCCTTCACAGCTGGCAGCGGGGCCGCCCATGTGACGACCGCTGGCGCGGGTGCACGGGGGACGGGCCCGCGGGTTCAGGTGCTGACTGCAGCGGGCAGCGCTGGAAAGCTCCGGGAGGCGGTGGACCGCGGCGGGGATCATGACAGCAGCAGCGCTGGCGCTGGCGGTGGTGGGGCCAGGGATGGGGGCGAGGGCGTGGACGCAGACATGTGGCGCATCAGCAGCCGCACAACCAGCGGTGAGAAGGCGGCTATGACTTGCGCCGACTGTGCTGCACATGCACGCGAGACAGCCACCATGTGTTGCAAGTTTGGTTGTGAGTCGCGCCCGCCCGTTCGCGCCATCAGATATGTAGCATTGCCAGCAATGGATGACGCGCCCTCCTGGCCACGCAGGGCCTGTCGTCTGGCAGGCCGGCTGCTGGTGCGGCCGCGAGGCGAGGGACTATGCGCCGGTGTGCGACCCGGAGACGCGGCTGCAGTACCCGAGTGCGTGTGTTGCCGCCTGCCAGGTATGTGGCCGCGGCGCGAGGCGGCCAGGCCACCTCCAATAGACGAAGAGCGAGGCAGGCCTGCCGGCCAGCGCGCATGCGAGTAGCAAATTGCCAGTGTTTGCCAGTGTGCGCATTTAGAAACCCAAGATATCACCTGTAGCCTGTGCTCCTCCAGCAGTCGTCGATGAGTTACTGAGGCTCTACCCTGTACGTCATTGACCCGGCAACTGCAGGGGGTTGCGAAGACGGTGCCCTGCCGGCGCCTCAGGGCACTCGTAATGACCTCCACGTCCCAACGCGCGGCCGGCCCCAAGCAAGCCCAGCAGGCCGGCAGCGCCGCCGCGGTCGTCACTTACGACACCGGGCTCGGGTCACTTGACCGGCCGCTGACGGTCGCTTACTACTACCACCCTGCCAAAGAGCAGGCGGTTGAGTCGCAAGTGCGCGCAGCGATCGCAGCTGCCTTACGCGCCGCCGTAGCCGCAGCGACTGGAGGCAAGCTGCCGCTGGTTGGCGGCGAAGAAACAAGCAGCACGGCTTCAAGGGCGGCATCTAACACAACCGGCAGCAGCAGCGAGAACCGAGTTCCAGACGCGCCTTCTGGTAGCGCCTATCAGTATGTTCGTGACGGTGACAGGAGCGCGGCTGTTGTGGGGTCGCTCCTGGCGGCTGCCGAGCGCGCGCGGTCGGGGGCTGGCACTGTGGGGCCGTTGGCGGCCGACGCGACTGCGCATTCCGCCGACGACAAAGCGGCGACAGTCCTGATTGCTACGGCAGCCAAGGAGGCCATCCGAGCGCACAGGAAATAGCAACCCTGTCACACGGTTTCGGCGTGACAGCTGTACCTGATTGGTTGGGAAAGGTCAGGGCACCCGGCTTGCATGAGGAGCATGCGGCCATGTGCAAACAAGCGCATTCATATTGCTGTGCTGCTGGGCGCGATCGCCTGTCTGATATCTGCCATTCAAAGCCTGTAGCTTATTTTGTCATGTTTATTCTCGGCCCTGCTCTTGTGGGTGTTATGTTAGGCCAGGGCGTGCTGCAGGCAAACCTCGAGTGACGATGCGGGGTGACTCACCATGACGGCCCTTGTGCCTCGTAGCTGCATGTATGTCAAGAGCCGCAGTTTCTGGCCTGCAATCAACTTATCTTGATCATATGATTGTGTACAGGCAGTTTAGAGCAGCATCCTGGCCATCAGCACCGCGGCCAACTCTAGATCGTAGTCGCAATCCCAGTGCATGCACGTATAATATAGAATCATTACTTTTGTAAAGACTCGGACGAAATGGGTGGTTCGGACGACCTATGGGGGGAGGACGGTGACAGCCCCGCCGCAAACGACGAGCTTTCACGAGAGTGGGACGCCAGACGCACTCAGTTCTATAATGTGAGTGCATTGGTGGCGCCGCATGCATGCGTTAGAGGCTGCTACTCAATGTCGCACGCCGCCCAACGGCCCCTGCTTGCCGCGTGCACTGCCTGCGCCTGGATCAAAATGCGCATGCATCATTCTGGTTGCGACGCTGCCGCCTGGATACAACAGTCTGGCTACCGTGAGGGTTTAGACGAGGGCAAGGGGAAGTACCTGCAACAGGGCTTCAATGCAGGTGTGTTGATCAGCACGTGTGCCTGGCTGGCCCCGAAGCTAGGGGGGCGGATTTTGGTCATTACTGGGTCAAACCGCCACCGCTGGCGCTGCAATTTTACAGAACAACGTACCTGCTGCCGGATGCACCCGGGGCAGCGACCGGCTGTGTCGCCGACTGAGGCGGGCGCTCCATACACCAGCTAACCGCCTCGTCAAGCGCAAGTCTGTCCTGGCACTCACCTTTGATCACCACGCTCCAAACTCAAACGCCTCACTCCGCAACCATCCATTCTTGCACCCAGGCTTTGCTGAGGGCAGCCGCGCCGGCTTTGAGTACGGCCTCGCCCGCGGCGCGCTGCAGGCGCTATCCGCCCACCTCGCGCCGCCGTCCGAGGCCGCCTCGAAAGCGGCCGCGCTGCAGTCGGAGCTGTCAGCCCTAACTGCCAAGCAGGCGATGGCGCGCGCGTGCCTGGAGCTGCTGGCAGTCCGGCCGCTGCAGCTGGACGCGGGGGAGGACGGGGAGCTGGCGGGCGCGCTCAGTCAGCTGCGGCTCGGGGCGGCTGGCGGAGGTGCGCATGATCTGGGTTTGGATTTGACACCTGGAGGGAGGTGTGGGGGGTTGAGGGAAGGGGGGCGAATCGTCCAGGGGTCGCTCTTGGGTTGATCCAGCCTTGTCAGGGTTGACCAGGGCTGCATGGAGCCGCAGCATGCTATCCACAGTCGAGCCCTGCCTTGTATCAATGCCAGCGGGGCCTGCGCCGTCAAACACAACTGGCCAGGCGGGGCGGCGGCGGGGAGCGAGCCCACCGGCGGCACGGCAGCGGCGGCAGAGAGCGCGGCAGCTCCCGCGGTGCCAAAGGTAGGCACGGCGGGGTCAGCAGCCGCAGCGGCGGGGCGTGGCGAGCGCGACAGCTGGCAGTGCTACCTGGAGCGTGTACGGGGGGACCTGGCCGCCATCGGCTGCGACGTCCGGGGCGCACCACCGGCGCCGGCTGCAGCTGTCGCGGCGGCCGCGCCGGCGGTGGGCGGCGGCGGCGGGGAGGGCGCTCTGGCGCCGAGCCAACAGGGGACACCTGTGGAACCTCCAAAAGTACAAGCTGCTGTTGCAGATGGCGATCTTGGATGGTAATCTTGCCTACTGCAAACTTACAACATTGTGTCCTTCTTGCAAGCAGCATGCACTGCTCGTTGGCCACGTGGCGGCGCTGTTGCAGCCGAGTTTTCGCATTTTTCGAATGAAGCACAGCGGCTGCGTTCGCGCTCCTGGTGGGCTGCTGACGTCATCACGGGGACGCAGTGTGCAGACATGCGTGCAAGCCAGAGGAAAAGGGCGTTGTTACATGCGGTAACAAGGTTGTCGCACAGACGTCGAGGAATAAGCGAAGGCAGTCCTAAGGAGCACGCAGGCGCTCACAGAAGCCACGCACTCCAGGAGGGAAGGCGTTGTGGGAGCAGGCGGATGCGTGACACAGGTAAAACCCAACCAGGCGGGAGGATGGCGGAGCGGACCACTCGCAAGCAAGCCGTGCAGTGTAGGACTGCATCGGCGGGGCAAACGCAGCAAAGCAGGCAAAGCTGGCTCGATGAGTGGCAAGAGTCAGGAAGGAGGAGGTGGGGGTGCGAGCCTGCGCCCGGCCCGGCTGCCGATGAATCAAGAATGCGCGGACGCGCGCGCGCTCGGAGGCGGCGCGGCGCGGTCGTATGAATGCGGGCAGCCGGGGCGGGCGCGACGAATGAGGTGGACAGGAGGCTCGCGCCTGCTGGTGGGGCGGGTGCGGCAATGCAAGCATGCGATGGGGGGCTTCAAAAAAGGAGAGTGGGAGCAACGGGGATGCGGCGCACACGGGCGCAGGGCCGAGGAGGGATGTGCGTTGTGCCCGCGCTGCGGGCGACGCGGCTGGGTTTGGCATGCTTCCCAGGATATGCCAAAGGCCGCGCCATGCGGCGGGCGCGGGGCGGACGGCACGCCCGGCCGAGCGGGCGGCAAGGGCGGGGCGAGGGCGCTCTGCGAAAGGGGTGCCTCGCGGCAGGCCCAAGCGCGCCGCTCGATGAATGCTTTATGAATCCGACGCATTGTCAAGGGGTCCGCCATGCAATGATGCGCGATGATGCTAGGTTTCGTGGTGCCGGCGGAGCCGCAGCCGCCCCGCAAAACAGATGCCTGCAACAAGCGAGGCCCGCACAGACAAGATCTGGGGGTGGCCTGGAGCCGGAGTCAGAGGAGGGAGGCACCGGCCAGTCAAAGTGCTGATGTGGGAAGGGGGGTTGGGCGCGTACAGAAGCACGCCCCAGGAAACCAGTTTAGGCGCGGCAGGGGGTGCGAGCGCCACGGGGCCCGCCGCGGCGGCTGCTGCCGCCCCGCCGCCAGAGGGCGGCCCGAGGCGCCAGGTGTGCCGCGCCGCGGCGGCGATGGGCCGGACGGGCGGGCGGGCGGCCCGCCCGCGCGAGCAATAGAAGCATGGCATGGCGGGCCACCGCCTCGCGCGGTCAAAGCCGCCGCCACGGGTGCGACCCCGCCTGTGCGACCGCCTGAGCAAACGAGCAGGCGGGG